ACGGCTGAAAGGGCGAGCATGTTTGGTGGGACGGAGATTCGAACCCGCGACCCTCAGATTGTGAGTCGAGCGCCTTATCCACCTGGCCATGCCGGGCAATTTACGTATTGAAGCTCGTGCGGAGAAACGTAATTTTTAATTTGTAGTATCATTAAGACAATTTAATTCGTTAATTTACGGTGTATTAGTTCTGTAACTGGTTCGTGATTACTTTGTTAATTAACTAAACGAACAGATGAGCAGTTATTTGATGATAAAAATGCAATTTTGGTTGCATTCGGCGTAAAGTTACATCCAGCGGGGATCGAACCTCGTATTTATGCGATGTAAAAGTCTGTAATATTACCTCTAACCTACACACCACCCCCGCGAGGGATCGAACTCCCAGATTTTTGGGATGTAATTCCGCAAACTTACCACCGACCCCAAAGCTATACCCCACGAGGGATCGAACCCCCGGAGTTTAACGTTGTAAGTCAATAAAACTACCGCTAATTCACAGGGAATCCACACCTACAGTGAGAAATAATATCATATTTATTGTGCGTATTCCGAAACGTTTAATAACTATATTATTATTATTCGTCATATGTCGTGTTGGCTTGAGGTTTTTAAGCCCAGAAACCTGGTTTCGATACTCGTGGTGGGCACGGTACTGATAGCCCTTTGTGTAGCTTTGTACAAACAAACAAGAAATCAGGCTCAACTTTACACCTCACGAATCTGTTATCAATTACTTCCTAAAGTAAACCATTTCTTCAAAAGTTTACACCTGCCGATAATCAGGTTTTTACTGATTTGTATAAACCAAGATATGTGCCGTGTTCTCCACTTAACTTTTTCTAACCAGTACTTCTCTGTTTCATATCTCAAATTAAACGTATGAATTTTTTACGTATTTTACGCTTCAACTTTCCATACATCTCATGGATTCATAAAATTCTCTAAACTTTTATGATGTTTTTATTAGTAAGCACAGAGCTACATAAAGGACTGTCTGTGCTCTGTCCACCACGGCTATCGAAACCCGGTTTCTAGAGATATGAGTCCGTAGACATACCGCTGTGTCACTGGGGGAGCCTAAGAATAATGAACCCTGACGATGGTAATAAGTATTATTACACAAGCAATAGTCATACAAAGCTCAAAATGGCTCAGACATAAAACAGGAAAACATTGAGTTCAGTACCACATTCACGTGTAAAAATGGAAAAACAAAACGATCAGACGTCACTTGAGTTTATCAAATCAAACGTATTAAACATATACACTAAATCATCTCTGAAAAGATGGTTTATTGAAAAAGAAATTATGCTTGTCATATTCTTTTAGAAGTGTCTTTACACGTTAGTTTCCTTTTAGAAGTGTCTTTACACGTTAGTTTCCATTAAGAAGTGTCTTTACACGTTAGTATCCTTTTAGAAGTGTCTTTACACGCCAGTTTCCTTTT